CATCACAGCGCATTCGAGCAGGTGTTTTCATCCCTTCAGAAGACTCAGCTCAATATGGAGACTTTCCAGCGGCTTAGGAAAATTTATGGGGAACTAGAATGTCAATACTGCGGTAAGACAAATAAAAAAACAAAACTCTTTGAGTAGATTGGGTTTGCTTTGTCCTGCTTTTTTAAATATTCACTTAACTGTAATTTACTGTTAAATACTGTGTGCAGCTCCTAATCACAGTTTTGTGCTGCACAGGTAAACTGTTCTGGTACAGAGTCCACTATAACAGCCATGTGCGCACACACACCAAGGAGCACCTGCATTACTGCTCAAAGTGCAGCTACTCTTCCATCACCAAAAGCTCTTTAAAGCGACACCAGATCCAGAAGCACAGTGGCTTGCTGCTGACTTGTTCGAATCCTGACTGCAAGTACAGCACGCCTGACAAATACAAACTTCAAGCACATATGAGAACACACAAAGAGCAGGTAACTAGCCTGAGCAGACCAGTTCCTAGTGATAGGTTCTTAATATGTGGTGCTGTTGAATTTATTGTAATACACTGAGGCTTAAACAACTAAAAATGATTGCTCCTTCAGCCTTTCCTTGTGTCTTCTCTTCAATTACAGGGGAGGAGTGAGACGTGTCCTGTCTGCCATCGTAATTATCCAGAGCACAGACTAAAGCACCACATTAAAACATCACACCCTGGTAAAGAACACACAAGTATTGCTGTGTCACTACAAAAAACAATATAACTCATTCTTGTTTGCTTTTATTTTAAAGCAGATTCAGATCTGTCTTTTTAAAACTGTCAGTATCACCTTTTGCTCCTGCCTCACTAAATCCAAATTATATTATTATATAATTATATATATTATGTTATTATTATAACTTTTTATTGGGCACGTATTGTGAGCACAGTTGGTCCTGGATATATTTTTTTTAAAGGTGCAGTCAGTCAGGTCATTTTATATAAAAATAATGTTGCTTTCATAAATACACAGTGTAGAATGGTCTTCTAGCAAATTGATGCGATTTCATAAACTTAGTTTTAATCTATTAAAAATACACGCGGCACTGATTTGTGGAAGCTGCCATGTTGGCCCACCATCTTGAAGTGGCTGAGATGGACGGGCGATGTTCCACCTACTTGAGTTTTATGTATCTGGCTAGAGACTGTCCACATACGTAGTACAGCAAAGATGGAGGAGGAGAGCTCGTAGGCATTTCTGTCCCATGGTGGCAAATTTTAAGTAGTGCCTCCACCATCAGACTCAGGATATGTAGGATGATGCCTCTGTTTAATCATCCGAGAACCCGTCCCCTTCACCAAAAAGTAAAACAACTCAACTGGGATCCGGATAAAAACCTCATCCTCCCTTTCCGCACGTTAAGCCTCATTTTACGAACTCAATTCAGAGCTCTAACATCCCTAAACATGCTTATTTATTCCAGATATTAATTGTTATCAGCAGATTAAACATGTGGCCGCCCCGTCTCCAGAGAGCTTTCAAAACGAGCCAACTAAACAACAACAACAACAGCAAAGCTATGCGTCATAAACTAGGTTATGCCAGCTAATGTTAGGCTCGAGTCTCTTAAAAATCACACTTTCCCTCTGATAAATAGTTTGATTATACTGACATTGAACAAGAACTTTTTCACTAAGTGTCCGAGTCCAACAATGTTAGATCCACTTCCAAGAAACTTTCCCTGATGCTGCTTAACAGCAACAATTGACTGCAATCTGCTGACACCTACTGGTTAGATTTTACGCCCCGGACCTTTAAATGATCAAAGTGTTGCAGATGCTTTCAGCCAAAGCTGACGCACAAGGCTAAAATAAATAAATAGCAAAGCTAGTTTCTGCTGCTAACCTTCACAATATTTTGATGCCCATTAGAAATTTTCCATCTTGTATATTTACTGCATGTTTCTTTGTTTGCATGGATGTTTTGGACAGACACTCTTCCTATACAAGGTAAAGGACTGATGGTGCAGCGTGCAGAGAAGTGCCCTTACTGTGACTCCTACTTCCTAAAGAACAGCAGTGACTTTCAGCAGCACATCTGGGCCCATCAAGGTCTGATAACGCTCTGCTCTTTAAAGCTGGTGAACACGCACACAGCACAAGTCCTCAGCACATGTGGGCGAGCACCTTTGCACAGAGTTTTACTGTATCGTTATTTTTGAAAGCTGAGTTTCCATCTGTCCCTCTTCCTCCTGGCCGTCGTCCAGAAGAATGAAGCAGTCTGCAAATACACACGCAGATGTTGTTGAGGGAAATTGGCCCATTAGTCAAGCTACTCTTAAAATGATGAAAACAAAAACAAGCCAAATTGTCCGTGTGCGATGCTGGCAAAAGAAACACTTTAATGGCTATTTTTCTTTTGCACTGGTCTCTGCAGCAGGACTTTTTGTTCTGCAGATGTTTTTTTTTAAGGTGAATGAGATTGCTAAAATTACTTTAAGACTGAAGAATATGTCCCTGCTCGGCTGAAGCTGCTTAATATATACAGCCTGTTCATATCTGCTGTAGAGTACAACATTTTGTCTTGAGGAAGCAAATTGTTATTCCTGCTGGTGTTTCTTGGCCCCTGCTGTACTCGCTTGATTTGATACGTTTTTTCACCTCACCAGTTTATAAAACAACAATTTTCAAAAATGTTTTTCTGGCTTAATTTTCTTTTTCTTTCTTTCTATTCCAATACTTGGCTGACTCTAATCCAGGTCACCGATGGCTGCACGTTTTCAACAGTCACTCGTAAATACAATTGGCACCAAGTATTCATAAAATATCCACTTTAGGCGCGTATCTCTTAAAAGTTCAGGAGTAAAAACATTTTCCTGCTGAGATTTGCTGTTTATGGCTTAAATATAATTTGAGTGCATTTGCAAACAAAGATTTCCATGTTCAAAATGTCTATTTATTTTTTGCTTAATAATTTAATTTTATTGCTTAATAATCTTTTCTGCTGGCAGCTTGTTAAGTGTGTGTTTGTATGTTGTTGTCTGTGTGGGTAGGGCTGAAGCCATACGTCTGCAACGTGTGTGACTATGCAGGTCGCAGTAAAAGCAACCTGAAGACTCACATGAACCGACATAATACGGAGAGACGTCACCTCTGTGATCTGTGTGGGAAAAAGTTCAAATCTAAAGTCACGCTGAAAAGCCACAGACTGAGCCACACAGATGAAGGTATGCACTTTGTTAAAATGACATTATGTATTTATTTAATATTATAATTTAGAATGAATGATAACTTTGTGTATGTCACAAATGCTCTTAATGACCAGTGATGATAAATGTCACAGTGTTTACTTTGCGTCTGTCCAGGGAAGCGGTTTCAATGTTCAGAGTGCGACTTCACCTCGGTCTCTAAGCCTTCCTTACTCAGACACATGGAGCAGCACGCTAAATTTAAGGTCAGATTACATCTAACCTTACCATCCTCAGTTTTATTATTATTTATTTTTTAGCAGAATATGAATAGAGCGACAAACCATCAGGGTCCATGATTTCATCTCAAATCAACACTGGCCTTCTGCTCACAGTCAGCGATTTGCATGAGAGTTTTATGATACAAAGTTTCAACACCTATAATGATTGCTGTGAGATTTTAGCGTCATTTATCAAATATCAAAGAAGAAAATATATACTAATAAAAAAAGAGTAGAATAAGAAATACAGATGACTGAAAATAGTGTAGCAGCCGTAATCCTTACACCAAACTCCTTGAACCACAAAACTTTCATGCAAATCTCAAACGGTCGAGCAGAAAATGTTCTAAAAG